CTCAGAGAAGCCTTAATTGCTGCACAGATATTGTGATGGTTTTTTAAAATGCCCACAAATTATGTGACATTTCTGGCTTCAAAAGTCACAGCCAAGCTCCCCTACCCTCAGACTTACTGACTCACTTCTAAGAAATGGACTGTGGTAAAAAATACTGTACATAGCTGTAGAGACTAGCTCAGTTGTTCAAAGCTTTGAGGCTTCCCTCTCATTTTCACTCTCTTGGGTCACTCTCTGCCGGCAGTGAGAAGTCATGAAGTAATCATATTCAGAAATCTATAAGGTAAGAAAAAACCATCAAAGAAGGAAAGTTTTTGCCAATAGCCTATAAGTGAACCTTCCTGAAAAGGGTCCTCTGGCTGGCCCAAAACAAGTCTTCAGGTGACGGCAGCACTACCTGGCATTTTGACCGTGACCTCTTAAGAGACCCTGAACCATAACCACCTAGCTAAACTAATCCCATATTCCCAACCCACAGAAACTGTGTGGGAAAATAAATAGCATTATTGTTTCAAACTACTATGTTCTTTAGATAATCTGTTAACAGTAACATATAACCTAGTGCTAGACCATAGCAAATTGCATGGCAATGATGACAATGAGCAGCAACCCACAGTCAAGAGGCGAGCGTGAGGGGAGACTCATCAAGGTCCTCATATTATCTATGCTGTTGGCCAAAAAGCAAGACAAGCATTTCTTTTCACCCAGAGAACAACAAAGTAAGTGAAAGAGTTGCCGGCCCAGATGAAACACTGTAACCAGAAAAGGCTGCAGCTAAACTCCTCCCCCCGCTGCCCCCTATGCACTTGATTGTAATCCTATATCCCCATCCTTAAGGACCTGTGCGCCAATGAGATACCTGTACATCTCTAATGGCCTTTGGGGCACTGCCCTAAGCTTAGGCTATTTAGATTCCCCCACGCCACGTGTCCGGGGGAGTTCGCCAGAGAGAGTTCGCCAGAGAGAGAGAGCTCGCCAGACTCCAGCGCGCCAGTCTCCACTCCCCGTGTTCCCGGAGAGACCACAGCCCGGCCCCGGGCTCGGTGCAGAGATGCTGCGCCCCGGGGCCGGCGGCGGCGGGGGGCCCCCTCCCCGCATTCCCGGAATAAAGCCACTGCTGACCACTACTTTCACGGCCGTCCGCTCCATTTCTCCCACAGACTTCTCCTCTCCCTTCTCCCAAACCTAACAGATGGTGCCGTGACATCTCTGCCTTATGACTCACAGGTTGTCATGTTTTGTTGTCGAGTTTGATTCTTAATTTCTCACATTCTATTAATGATCATTTCTATAGCAGGAGTCCCTAACACGATTGCCTACAGACTCCAACATCATATATACCAGAGTCAAGCCTTACCTACCTACCTTTTAACTTTTATGCTTTCATAGGGGGGAGTAAACACCTCTCATAACTTCACTCCTCCTAATCCCACGTTTATTTTTCAGAATTCTGCCTTGCCACCTCAACGTCACCCTGATAAAATACCATCTCAAAACCAAAGTCACCTTCCTATCTACCTCACCTGGGTCCTTAAATATAATAGTGCCATGTCTCCTAATAACATTATGTCTCTTTGTTTTTCCAGTCTGACATACATACATTCACCAGTGAAGTTGTCCTGGCTAAAACACCTGGCATCAGTGTCTACCTGGGCATCAACCTTCATCCCGTCAAACTCCCCTAGACCCCAATACAGCGCCCTCAGCCAGCAGGAAGTAGTTACAGAGAGAGATCTTCGCCCCTTTTCCTAATAACCAGAAGACGGGATATGAAAGAGTTGCCGGCCCAGATGAAACACTGTAACCAGAAAAGGCTGCAGCTAAACTCCTCCCCCCGCTGCCCCCTATGCACTTGATTGTAATCCTATATCCCCATCCTTAAGGACCTGTGCACCAATGAGATACCTGTACATCTCTAATGGCCTTTGGGGCACTGCCCCTAAGCTTAGGCTATTTAGATTCCCCCACGCCACGTGTCCGGGGGAGTTCGCCAGAGAGAGTTCGCCAGAGAGAGAGAGAGCTCGCCAGACTCCAGCGTGCCAGTCTCCACTCCCCGTGTTCCCGGAGAGACCACAGCCCGGCCCCGGGCTCAGTGCAGAGATGCTGCGTCCCGGGGCCGGCGGCGGCGGGGGGCCCCCTCCCCGCATTCCCGGAATAAAGCCACCGCTGACCACTACTTTCACGGCCGTCCGCTCCATTTCTCCCACGGACTTCTCCTCTCCCTTCTCCCAAACCTAACAGTAAGAACTGTGGGAACCAAAATAAGAGGCCAAAACTCTATGCCCATAGACCTGGCTTGATCATATGTTATGGCTGATTCATTGTGTTAACTTGAGAAGTTTAGAAATTTAACTAAGAGACTTAGCAGGGAGCCAGGATCCTTACTTTGTAAATATCCTCAGCCTGTGAAAGAGGAAGGCACAGAGGTGGTATGAATGTTAACACCCACCCTGGGAGAGAGGGTAGCCTGCTTACAATATAAGGTAGAAGAGGTTTGTTCTCCCCTTTTTGCTCTCACTTTTTCTGTCTGCTGCCTTAAACTGTTGCCCCTATGCCATGCCATTCTGCCTTGGTGCCAGCAGGTTATGGACTGAAACCTCCACAAACTGTAAGCTAACTAAACATTCCTTCCTTCATTTCGGGTGTTGGGTATTTTGTCCCAGCAGTGAAAGAAAAGTAACTAAGACACCATCTGTGCCTTGGCTGATCTCAGTAGACACTATCCCATGGCCAAGAAATGAGAGCCTTCTGAGGAGGCACTGGTGACCAGATGACAATCACTGACCAAAGAACATACCACACCCAGGTATCTAGGTGTCAAAAGGAAAGAATAAGAACAAGTCTAAGAATTTACTCAAGAGAAAACTGAGAATAGGAGATGTTTTAAACTAGAAATGATAGTTAACTTTGTTGGGTTTAAGTGTATTCCACTACCAAGAAGAGACGTTTATGAACAACTTGTGTTTAAGTAAAGTTATATTTCAAAATAAAGTTGTATTTCAGAGTCATATTACGTAACCCAAACTTGAATTCACTATATAGCCCACAGTGGCTTCAAAATCATGGTGATCTCCTGCCTTAGCCTCTTGAGTACTGAAATTGCGGACATGTGCCACTATGTCCAGCTCAAAGTTATATGTTGCATATCTGAATATGACTATAAATTTTAAACTCACTACACATTTTTATTTACTATGAAGTATTTCAGACATACAAAAATATAAAGAAAAATAAAATGAACATCCATGTGCTCATCACCTAAAAAACAGGAAGTTCAAGTCTGTGAGGTACTCCTCCCTGATTGTATTAACTCTACAGGTAAACTTTATTCTGCTTTCTCATTAACATTTCCATACATTTCTTTTTACTTTCACTACAACCCTGTTTATCCCTGCAATTTAAAAAATCACTGTTTTTCTTCTTTTTAATCTCTAAATGAAAGCATTATATTGCAAGTACTTATCTAACAACTTCCTTTTTGCTTAACATACTTTTGGGAAAGTATCAGAATGCAAAAGGGTTTATGGTTAAGCCAGTCTCACGGTTGTTGCTGAAGATAAGCTAGGATGATGAGACATTAACTGGAGGTATTGGGGGATAGGGGATCTGATCAGATATTGAAGGTGACCAGATGTCAAAGGCACTGAGTACTTAATAAACTAAGATTGGATTTTACAAGGAATTAAAACAAATGGGTCAAATTTAACCAAGCAAAGAATTCCACTGAACTGTGAACAACTGGACACAGAGAAAGAAAAAAAAAAAAAAAACAGTAACTGAATTTACAACAGAGAAACCTGAAGAGAAGTAGAGCAGGAAGTCCCAGGACCTAGCTCTGAGAAATAGCAACATTTTAAGAATTTAAACACATCAAAGCAAGCGATTTAGATCCCAAGCAGTTAAGATAAAGGCCTAGAAGACAGTATCTTTCATGAGGCAAGAGACGCTTATTTCCAAAGGGCGTAAGAAACTGGTAAATCCCAGTGATTCTAAGAAAAAAACTTAAGTTTTAGATTTGGTACCACCTGGAAAATCCGTTTTCTTTTAGAGATGGAAATTGAGGAAGAGAGGACGAATCCAGACAGAGTGAACTGGGAAGCAGAAAACTGAAGCCACATTTAAAAATCTGGCTATTGTTGTAACCTATATATATTTTTTTTTTTTTTTAAACCCTCGTAAGTCTCGAGGCAAGAGAAAGATCAAAGGTAACTCTAAGCAGAATAGGATGTCTTCCTAATCTAAACTTGCTTGTTTGCAGGATACCTTACTTGTTTGCAGGACGTGCCTTCTGCAGAGGATGTTTGCCTAATCTAAACTTGCTTGTTAGCCCAACCCTTACCTGAACCTTGCTCTTCCGAAGAAATGTAACCGCCGTGTTCCTGTTCTGTAGTGCACTGCAAACCCACCCCCCCATCCACCGCATTGTGAGCCAGCAGACATTTGCGGTTTTACAAGATAAAAACCCTGCCCTTTAGCCGTTAGGGCGCAGTCTTCCATTATGGCTACTGGAGGCTGCGCTGCCAGGCCTGTGCTTTAATAAATGTTTTTCTTTCCAAATTATTTTCTCTGGCTCCTTTATACCTCGAGAAATGGACCACCCACAGCTGTGAAAGTGAAGTGCAAAAGATCATTTGCTGGAGTTATTTTAAAATGAGGGAAATTTCAGAACGTTTAAATGCCCACAGGAAGAAGCCAGAGCAGTGAGAAAATAAAATAGAACGAACAGAAAGACATCCAGAATACTGCTGACACACCAAACTAAATGCACATCCGGAATTCTGAGGCTTCAATAACTACAAATTTTAGGCACAGGATTTTGTGGCTTTGTTTCTTTGGAAGGATTTCTTGCCCCGTTACACCTACTCAGGGCCTTGCCCTATCTGCGGCCTCCCCCTCCTTCCGGGAAATGCACGACCAATCTCTAGAAACACTTCCGGGTCGCCAGGAAAGGCCACGCCCAGTCTCGAGACCACAGTTCCTGTTTGCAAAAGAAGCACCGCCCCAAAAGACTCATGCGCAGAAGGTCGTAAAGGGAGGCGAAAGAAAAGTTTTTTTGTATTTTGCGCAGGCGCATTGGGTTCCGTTCGCTATGCGGGTGCTAGTGGGTGAGGGCAGGCGGGAAAGAGTTGGGGGCGGACATAAGAGTTGGGATTGAAGGCCGGAAGTGCTTGCCCAAAGGGCACTGATGTTGACCGCCTCGCTTAAGAAGCTGACTCCCCCTATTTCCAGGGACTTGTGTCACCTCTGTGCTCAGGGAGGGGGAGAAGTGGGAGTCTGGAGGGATGGATAGCACCAGAGGAGGGGCGCACAAGCCGGGACGCAAAGCGCCTTCCTGCATACCGGAGTGTAAAGTGTTTGTATTTCCCGATCAGGTGGTGGGACGGGCTTCATTGGGACAGCCCTAACCCGGCTGCTAAAAGCCAAGGGCCACGAGGTGACGCTGATCTCCCGACAGCCGGGGACCGCTCAGATCACTTGGGTACGCCGTCTAGTGGGGAGTCAGAAGGGGGCGGGGACTGGGAGGGCGGCCTGGGCAGGGAGGCGGACAGTGCTATCTTTGGCAGGAGGAGCTCTCCAGGTCGGGGCTGCCGAGCTGCGATGCCGTGATCAACTTGGCTGGAGAGAACATCCTCAACCCTCTCCGAAGGTCAGATGGCGCCCAAAACGGGTATCCCTCAGAGCAGAGGGAGGTGAGGGTCCGACTCTGTTGAGGACCTGCGAGCTGTGGCTAATGGAGCTTCCAGATTGAGAACTAAAGCTATATCGCAGACTACTCGTCCCACCCACGCGCCCACCTTCTCTCCTACCCAGTCGACTTAATTCAGTCGAATTAAATTCTCAGGAATGGCCAAGAAAGATACCTCTTTTTTCTTCTGCAATAGACACTTTTTTTTTTTTTTTTTTGTCTTGAGACAGAGTCTCGCTATGCAGTTCAGGGTGGCCTTGTAGCCCAGCCTAGTCTCGAACTCACACAGTTCCTCCCACCTCAGCCTTCCCAGTGCTGGGATTACAGGTGTGAGCCACCACGCCCAGCAATAGACATGCTCTTTTGCAATGCCCAAGTTCTACTAGAAATTGGTGTAGAATAGGCCCTAGGGATAAAGGTACGTGTGCAAGTATGTAGTTAGTGATTTTTACCTCCTGTTTTTCTTGTAGGTGGAATGAAGCCTTCCAAAAAGAGGTTCTCAGCAGCCGCCTGGAGACCACCCAAATGCTGGCAAACGCCATCACAAAAGCCCCACAACCACCCCAGGCCTGGATTGTTGTCACAGGTGTAGGTATGCCCACAAACTACCAACCTCTCACATTAGCAGGGGGGAAAGAAGGTGCCACGGTGAGAGATAGCTCAGGGCTTTTAGCTATATACACCTGAGTGCTGATCTCTTCCAGACACAGTAACTCCTAGGTGCTCAATCCATGCACGTTTCTCCTGTCCTGTTTTCACTGAGAAGTAGAGACTCTCAGAGAAAGAGGCCTGAGTCCTAAGGAAAAGTCCACCTGTTCCCAAGTCCTGTGCTTACCACACCATAGTTCTTTAGTAACAGAGTCCCTAATTGTTGTTTGTCCCCTTTGGAACCAAACAGTTACACAGTAGACATACAAGAAAGTACTCAAAGTGTTTTAGACTTATTATATCATTTAATCCTTGCAACAACCCTATGAGGTAGGTACTATTGTCCCATTTTAAAGATGCACAAATTCCACACAGAAAAGTAATTTACCAAAAGTCACAAAGCTAAGAAATAGCAGAGCTGAAATTAAAACCCAAGCAGCCTGGCACCCAGGTTTCTGTTTCTAACCACTACAGTTTAGCAGCCTCTGGGTGTAGCCTGCAGACAAAGGAAAGGAGTTTACAAAAGAAGCCCGTCAGGTCATAGAGAAGCTCAAGGGGGAAATGTGCATAAAAATACCCAAGGACCACAAAGGGTGAGGCTAAATGGAACCCTGACCACAAAGGCCCAGGCAGGACCCAGCATAAATGAGCATTCTTCCACTGACAGCTTACTACCAGCCCAGCCTGACTGCAGAGTATGATGAAGACAGCCCAGGAGGAGATTTTGACTTCTTTTCCAACCTTGTGACCAAATGGGAAGCTGCAGCCAGGCTTCCAGGAGATTCTACACGACAGGTAGTGGTGCGCTCAGGTGAGAACCAAGTAACCTGGTAGCAGATGGTGGCGTGGCTTCACTGGGCTAGGGAGGGTGGAGTAGAACCAGGGGAGTTGTGCTTACAGAGAGTGAGAGGATGCTATCACTTCTGGAAAACCTGCAGAGGGGAGGATGGGAAGTCCCAAGGAGAGCCACATTCCTCAACTCTAGTACAAAGCAGAGTCCATGTGGGAAAAGAATAAAAAAGGGGAAACTATGAGGAATAGTCAGACTGCTTCCAAGCTGAGAGCCCTCCCTGTACAATACACCTCCCTATTCTAGGGATTGTGCTGGGCCATGGAGGTGGTGCCATTGGCCATATGCTCCTACCCTTCCGGCTGGGCCTGGGGGGCCCCATCGGCTCAGGCCGCCAATTCTTTCCCTGGATTCACATCAGGGACATGGCAGGAATCCTGATCCATGCCCTTGAAGCAAACCATGTGCAGGGAGTCCTCAATGGCGTGGCTCCAGCCTCCACCACTACCAATGCTGAGTTTGCTCAAGCCTTGGGCACTGCCCTGGGCCGCCCAGCCTTCATCCCTGTCCCCAGCACTGTGGTACAAGCTGTCTTTGGGCGGGAACGTGCCGTCATGCTGCTGGAGGGCCAGAAAGTGGTCCCCCGGCGAACACTGGCCACTGGGTACCAGTATTCCTTCCCAGAGCTGGGGGCTGCCTTAAAGGAAGTCGTAGCCTAAAGAAGCTCATGGCAGGGGCCTAGGCCTGTCCCCTGCCAGAGGCTCCCTGGTTAGGTACTGTGAACAGCCTCAGGTCAGATCTATCAGAAACTATCTGGTTCTTCAGGGTTCCTCTCCCATTCCTCTTTTCCCCATTGTTGTGTCAGATCCCGCACCCCTTATTTAACTAAGAAATTCTCCAGTCTCACAGCTGTATCTCATCAAGTTGGGAACTTAACCTCTTTGAGTCCCTGTAGGAAAATTTCTAAGTTTAGTTTCTCTGTATCACATTGTTGCCCCAAATCTTTGTGCTGTGTAGAGTACTCTGCAGCTTTGGCAATAAAGATAAATTATCTAACTGGTTCCAGCTCATGTTTTCTAGATTCTCCTAGAATTTATGCAAGGACTGTTGCTCTGTATTTTTCCCGGCATGGGTTTTTTGTTGCTGTTTTTGGGGGGTGGGGTGGAGTATACAGAATAAACTCAGAACCTCACACTTAGCAGGCAGGTGCCATGCCACTGAGCTACATCCCCAGTTCCCAGCACGAGGTTTTTTAATTACAGTAGCAACAGCTCTCCTCTTCCTTTCCCTTTTTGGTTCCTCTTTATCAAAAGGACTGATCACAAGTATAAAGCATGAAGTTATGATAAGGGTAAAGATTAGAAGATAGAACAAACAATGACCCATTTCCAGTGAGTTATGTGATGACCCTGCACATCTGTACACAAAGTACATGCCATCAGGAATGCTACCCCAAGAAGAAATGAGGCCCTACTATATATAGGTCAGCCTTCAGTCTGTGTCACCAAATACCAGTGAATTAAAAAGCAATCACAGGGCTAGGGATTTAGCTCAGTGGCCTAAGTGCTTGCCTGGCAAGTGCAAGATCGCAAGTTCAATTCCTGGTACCCCCCCCAAAAGCAATCACATTAGTCCCAGTTTATCAAACTGCAGCAGGACAAATCCAGCCCCTAGGATCTGCTCATCTAACTGGAGCCACTTCCATCCACAAGGCTCCTTAGTACAAAAGGGCAGAAGATCCCTCTGACCAAGTGTAGGTCCACCATCATGGAGACTGAAAAGGGCAGGGAGTCAGACATGGGCTACAAGTTCAACCCTATCAGGAAAAAATAAGTGCCAAGTATTCATCTGGGACCCTTTTCATCTACCTAAAGTGTGATGTCTGCCACAATTTAACCAAAAGTAGTTCATTAGCCAGTACTTTAGACCATCTTATCCAGTCCTATTTCTTCCCAGGGCACTATGGATTGCTTGAGTCACTGTCAACTCACTGACCAGCCTGTATCAACCATGCATACCTCCAGCCTGAGTCAATACCAACTAGCAATATAAAGCACCAGCAAGTAAAAGGGTAAAGACACTGGGTCCTGGGGACCCTCCCTCACTGTTCAGCTCTGCATGCTTGATTCCCTGCCATTCAGGGGAGAAGTCAGAGCCTAAAAAGGATCTTAATCTGGAATGTGCTATAGGACCCAAACAGAACAAAGCCAGGGGCACCTGTCCTGACCTCTCATCTGGCCTAAGACACTAGGAAGTTTACTGTCTCCAAGAATGATAGGTCTCCACAAAGATAGGATGATGTGGGCCTGAGGGAATGACCAGCTTCAAAGGTAACAGAAAAGCAACTACACTAGAGAAAGGACAACCAATGAATACTGTCCATGTAAGAAATGTGCTATCTTGCAGGTAATAGATTCTCAGCACTGAGAAAATTCAAGCAGATACAAGGCAATGACCTATAAGAATCAGCTCTGAGACAGGATGTCATGTGTGTTAGTGGAATTAGTGTGGTGCCCTGTCAGGTACATATACAAGCACACCTGTGCACACATGCACCATTTTCAAAGCGAAGTGCCTCAACTTATACCACTTAGGTCTTTGTAAAGAAAATGTTAGCTCAGATCACATTAAAATGTTAGCTCAGATCACATTAACATCATTGCAGAGCATGGCTTCATGGATTTGGTGAATATTCCCAGTGCTTCAACAAAAGGACCAAACCAGTGACATCCTGACATATCTGTTAATCTGTAAACAAACACTTGATGCAACAGGAGAGCTGCCAGTTATAGGAACCCTGAGAGTATTTTTGATAATGCAGTCACCCCTAACTTAACTATTTTATAAATGTGGGTTCTGAGAGCTTACCAAAAGGGATGCAGCCATTATTTGGCATGGCATTCTGAGGACACAGTGTGAAAATCTAAGGCGTGGAACCTGAACGTGAGTGACCCACGTCACTCTGAGAGCAAAGTTTTGGTCAGGAGCCTGTGCAGTCACAGGCAGACACACCTGAGACTTGGTCCAAGCACTTTTCCTCCAAGCTCTCCTCTGCATTCCCATGCCTTCCCCTGACAGGCACTCTTACTCTTGATTATAGGCTGGAGGACAAGCTGAGCAGCTCCATGAAAGCCACAGACAGCCACAGTGAGACTGGAAGCCAGTCACCCTCTGCCTAACATGACAGCCCCTCAAGAGGCCAGCATTCCTTCTGACATGCCCAGCCTGCAATTTCAATCTGTCCTCCCACAGAACAGCAGCCAGGGGGAGGAAAGTCCCAGTTTTTCTGCCAACCTTGGGTTACCCTAGCCTCTACCCCGACTCAGCCAGTGGTCCCAATCTCCATGATTTATCTTTTCTAGGAGCCCCCTATTTACAGAAAGCAAGATTGTTAAAGCAAGATTGGGAAGTTACAGGTGAGTGGAACCTGTTGAGAGCTGTTTGGAGTTCTGACTTGAGATTAGGTCACTTTCTGAACCTGTCCCCAAAATGACCGGACAAAAACTTTTCCTTCACTGGAATGCTCTTCCCGGTCCTTCCTTGACCCAAAGAACCATCTCAGAGTGACTCTAGGCCAGAGTCTGAGCAGCACAGGGACTCTCACGGAAGGTGCTGAGCTGGGGGAACCTGGAGCTAACAGGGCAGCAGTCACACAGGCGGGTAAGGCTCAAAAGTTGAGACTCAGCAGGGCCTCAGACAGTTGGTTAATGTCCCTGCAGTATGGTTCCCGCTGCAGGATGAAATCCACCTTGTGATCCTGGCCCCAGAACACCTCCAACAGCTGGCGCCGGAGCCGCTCTGTCTCGCGAGTCTTCCGAATGCCACCACTGCCTTTTTCCTCTTCCTTCCCCTGCTGCTGATTGCTGTGTCCTGAAAAGCCCTTGGAAGTAGGCTGAGCCTTAGAAGACACCTGTTTCCTGGAACAAAGAACAGGAAGAGCTCAAGAACATGCTGGAGGGAAATCAGACCTCAGTGGGCCTCTCCTCTCATAATTGCCCCCACCATCCTGATTCAGGGGCACAATCCTGAAGTTCCCAAATCTGGCCACAGAGTGGCAGTGTCGACCCACTTCTGAAGAAGAGACTGGCACTTCTGAAACCCAAAGAACCCTGCCACAATTAAAATGTAGGGTCCTAAATTAATCTTTTAGTGGTCCAGCAAAGGGCGTGCTGAGCACAATAAGCCATCATTACAAGCAACCATCTTCCCAACAACTCCATCAAACATACTGACTGAGAGAGACAAGAAACAGGAATTTCCCTTCCAATCAGGAAGTTTGTATCAGAATTCCCTGGGAAAATTTTAAAGACCAAGTCCAATGCATCCCAAAACTACAGCAGAATCAAGTTGGCCCAAACTGAGGTCACATGCCGACCTAGGTCTCCAGGCCTGCAAAGAACAGGGGACTAGGAATTCCCTGCAGAGTGAGCATTACCTGGCTGGCTTCTTCAGGAACTCATCCAGGGTGGGCCCGTTTCGACCCAGTGGGTCATCAGGAACCATGAAGAGGTTTCCCACAAAAGTGAAGGGCAACAGGCTAGATAAGGAAAGAAAAAGTGTCACAGAAGGGCACTTGCTCACCTAGACAGCTGAGACCAATGCCACCAGAAACTACTGGCTACCATCCCTTGAAGCAACTTCAAGCCCCTTTCCAGAGTTCTCACCCAGTGGCCAGAGAAGAGCTGGTTTTAGAGAAAGGTCTGAATCCGTGCCCTATTCTCAAGGGAGAGCTCCCTCACCGCTCTCTGATGATTGCCATCCACTTGTCAGACTCCTCCGCCAGGTCCCGGAACTGGTCATTGGAGACAATGATTCCACTGGTCTCTTCAGCCAACTTCAGCATGAACCTGTCTCAAAAGCCACAGCAACCATAAACCCCCACCCCCAAAGGATGCTACTAAATCCTTCAACCTGTTTGTAGTGATGGAGATCTGGCTCTCCATGTCACCTTAACCCAGCTACAGGTGACTAACTGAATACACGTGCCACTGAGTAGAAAAGAAAGATGAATCCAAAGTGGCCTCCCAATAGCATCCCACCAGCTCACAGCATTCCTCCACCCAACACTTGTGCCTCATCCCTGAGAGGCAACAAGGCTAGCTCTGACTCCATCTTCTACCCTAGCCCACCAGCACTCAGATCCAGTATCGGAGTGAAAAGTCTTCCACTCTGCCCCTTCTTTTCTAATCTCGTAATTGCCACAGTGATTCAAATATTACAATTGCTTATTGCATTGCCGTCTAATTCATCCCTGCTCTAATCATTCACCACTCTGCAGTCCCTCTAACAAGAAAGCATGTTCTTCCTCTACACTGAGCTCCTCCACAGTTGCCCTTCACCTACCAAGTAAAGTCCTCATGCACGGCCTGGCAGCTGCAGCCTCTGAAATCTGGCTCCAAGCTACCCTTACAGCTTTCTCTCCCTGTATTCCCTAATGTGCCCTCAATTCCAGCCATAATCAATGATCAGATTACATCCTGCTCTCTAAACATGCCCTGTGCTGTCTGTCTTCCAAGTTTCTCAAACTACTCCCTCCATCTAGAAAGTGGTTCCCAAAACTTGCTGATGAACAGAATCACCAGGGGTGCTTTTTTAAAAATAGATGCCTGCCCCCAACTTTAGTAATTCTGATTCCCCAGGGAAAGATACATGCACGAAAGGATCCAGCTCCCACATCTTCCACTAACTATTCACAAACCCCTCCCGTCCGATAATACCCAAGTCCCAGGAGGGCTCCTGTCCCTCTGAGCTCCTATAGTATTGGATTTATAGGTTCTTTTGCCTCTTTGAAGTCAAGAATCAGACCTTGTTCTGTTTTTGTTCTGAAGACCAAGCACCTAGTAGTAAATGTACAGTTGGTGTTTAAGAGACACTGTGGTATCAAGGGAGCTAGGGATCAGGCTTAGGTGTGAGAAATGTCTAGTTCTGTGTTCCCAGTGGGAAACAAATTAAGGGGCTAATATATAAATGTATAAGGTATACATGTGGGATACAAGAAACATTCTCCAGTTAAGCATATCTTACTGCTACTGTATTATGTTGTATGTTCCACAGTATTCGCACAGCAAGGCCGCACTGTGCATATACTTAATCACTGTTAGGAGGCAAAATTTCCAATTTATATTGTGTTATCTGTACAATTTGCATTGTGTCCTACACAACTGCATAGGCACATTCTTTAAAATTCATTAAAACTGTCTCAGTCTTTAGTTTCCTCTATTTCAATGCTAGTAAGGAAAGTGTCCATACCTTGGAGGGAAATGTGAGAGCTAGACATAAAACAAAGTAGCACTGGGAGAAAGTGAACTGTCTTTTTGTAGAAAACCATTTACTTAGAAGAGGTATGAGTTAAGTATTTGAAAAGACAAGATCTGTCATCACTGTGGTTTGAAAAGAATAAAGAACTTGGGGCTGGGGATTTAGCTCAGCAGCGTAAATGCCTGCCTTGCAAGCAGGCAGTCGTGAGTTTGATCCCTGGTACCGATAAAAAGCAAAAGACAAAAAAAAAGAATAAAGAACTTGTGGTTATAAAATTTTTAATTGGTTCATTAGCTTTAAAATCTGCACATTTGCCACACCTTGTTTGCACACTGTGGCCAAAGTATGCCCTGCTTTTTTTTTTTTTTAAACCATCCTGCAGCAGTGAGGTCTGTGCTTTCTTTGTCAAGGTAGCTAACTGTTCTTACCCTCTATCTTCACATACCTGAAATAGAGGTAAGATTTGATGCAACACTTACGTAGGTCCATGTAAAGTGAAGAGGTAACACCATTGGACTCTTGCCTACTAACTTGTGTGAAGAAAGCACACATCTTAACTTCTTTTGTTAGTCACAAAGAGGGTGAATGAACAGAGGAGGGCATAGGGGTTAATTCACTAGGAGATGGACCCACATATGGTCTCAATAGTAATGCAATTGAAGACTCACATTCAGATCTTCCAGTTCTAAATCCAGTTCAAATAAACCATGTTCTACCCAGTCCTATTACTCAAAGATTGTGTTTCTTGGTTTTAATTTTTTTTTTTTTTTTTTTTTTTGTACTGGGGATTGAACTCAGGACCACACACCTGCCAGACAGGCGCTTAAGCCACTGAGCTAAATCCCCAGCTCTTACTTATTTGAATTGTTTACTATGGTTTTTCCATAATGTTGGGTGAATTTCTTTACATATTTGAAAATTTAAGATTGTAAGAAGGTACCTGTCAGCTGCTCATGTCACCAGCTTTCCCACTTTTCCGTTAAGCCAGTATTTTCTAAATAATAAGGTACTATATATACACTGTAGTGATGAAGGAAAAACTCTTTCCACCACCAAAGCTTACAGAGAGAGCAAACGACAAGAAGCTTCTACTGGGCTCTTTTAATATCAACCTAAAGCCAGTATTTTCTAAATAATAAGGTACTATATATACACTGTAGTTGATGAAGGAAAAACTCTTTCCACCACCAAAGCTTACAGAGAGAGCAAACAATGAGAAGCTTCTACTGGGCTCTTTTTAATATCAAGCCAGGGAGAAGCAAGTACCTGTCATCATAGGAGGAAATCCTCTTGCCATCCATGACTCTCGAGGGCGTGAGGGAAAGCAGGCTGAGTGAGTGTAGCTTTTGCAGGAAATGAATTTCTATTTTAAAAAAAGAAAAGAAACATAAACAGGGCTGCCCTCAAGATGGAATCAGAGACTACTCAGGACAAAGATGACCAGACCCAACTCACCTCTAACCTTGCCATCCTTACTGAAGCGCCACTGAGGTACAAAGACAGTTATGTCACGATGTCCACGGTCCCAGAAGTACTGAACAGCAATGGCAATGCCACGGCTAGAGAAGTAGTGCTGGAGGCCATGGCTGCAGTGGGAAAGGTCAGTGTGTGAGACCCAGAAAAGGGGTCTGGCAGGCTGGCTGCAGTGCCAGTCCTGCAGCACACATCCCCGAGGCAAACAAAGATGCCTGTCTCAACCCTCACCCCCAGGACTCTGAGTCCCAACAGTTACTCACACCATGGCCACATTGCTGCCATCGATGACAATATGACGGAGGTCTGGCTGGCCAGGCACATTGGCAAGGCACAGGGTAAAAGGATCCTGCAGGGCCTCTTGAAAACGCTGAGTGCCAGTCACCAAGTTGCCTCCACGGGTGCCCCGTTTCCCCGAAGATCCTCGACCTCGACCCTGCTGCTTATCTCCCCTGTCTCCTAGATCTCCGAGATCTCCACAGGGCCACGGGGGTTCAGGCGCAGGTGGGGGACTAGGCACTCTTGGAGGTGAGGCCTCCCCATTATGGAGCCGCTGGAGGAGAGAGGCTCCCCGGGACTGAGCTGACCTCTGACAAGGCCCCTGAGGACCAGGAGGCTCACCCTGGACACTAAATCCTCCTCTTTCCTGAGTCACCCCTTCCCCCGCCAAGGCCATTCCTTTCAGGCACCCCATGCCCCCTACCCCTCCACCTGCTGGCTGTGACCTGAAAGTTGCTTCTTTCTCCCAAGCCTCTTCCCCAAGTAGCTCCTTAAACCACAGATCCATCTCCCTGGGACCGCCCTGTTTCCCTATATTCTTCTCCATGGTATGACTGACTCCACTGGCCCCCTTTGACTCTCCCTGCCCTACACAGCCAGCATCCAGAGATTCCCTGCCTTCACTCAGGGGAGCTCTGACTCCCTGGTGCAGAACACCCAACGGCCCCTGCCCCATGAACGCCTCCTGCGCCAAACTCAGCAGCTCCTCCTGGACAGCCAAGGGCAGCTGCAGCAGGGCTTCTGTGTGGGCATCCTCCCTGGGCTGCAGCAGGGCAGAGAATTCCCTCAGCACTCCAGCATTCTGAGAAGTGGTGGGATACAAGCCTGTCTGTAAATCCCAGCTCAACCGCTCCACAAGCTCCTCTACGCGACTCTGAGCCATGACAAAGGCCTCAGTTAGTCCACTGATCATCAGTGAGCCGGGTACCCCAGGAACCAGGTGGGCTGATGTGCTCCAAACCAGGCAGTCAAGGAAGAAGCCCTGGGCTCCCACGAAGATGCAATGCAGTCTGGGTGGGTAGTGGATTGCATTCTGCAGTTCTGGGCTGCAGAGACCTTTCAGGTACTCCTGGAGGAAAGTCAGAAAAGGAAACTGCTGGAAGCTATTCCCTTCTGGTTCATTATTCTCCCATGAGCTCCAGAATGCCTGGAGTATTTAAGTGGTTAATGCTACTACTATCCCCACTTTACAGATAAGGAAACCGAAACTCTGGAACTCAAGACTGGCAGGTGGCAGTCAAACCAGAACCCTTGCTTAACACTGCGTCTCCCACCTCCCACTCCTACGCCTTCACACACACACACACACACACACACACACACACACACACACACATCCCCACAAGACTCTAGGCAAAATGAAACCAAAACGCCAGACACAGTGGGAAGTCCCTTAACAGGAGGAGCGCTGAGACTGCCAGTGCCCGCTTGATAGCCAAGGAGTGGAGATCCTCCCCAGGCACCTCCTCCGAGGCTGCCTCTGTGCGGGAGGACTTCCTGGCTCCCTGGAAGGACTGGGGAAAAGAGTTACCTTGGCTCTGCCGATGTTTTCCTTGGAGCCTTCCAGCTGCAGCCAGATGTGCGGGTTCTCTGGGCAGTCCTTGGGGAGGATGCACACCCCCACGCGGAAGATGCGCTCCAAATGGGCCTGCTCGGCCCGGACCTTGGCCTCTGCCTCTGCAGACACCGTAAAGCGGTCGGGAGGCGGGGAGCCAGCCCCCCAAGTAGGCATGGCTTCCTCCCCCAGTCCTGGAAGGGGAGAAGGCAATTCAGAGCCTCACAATCCCAGAAACCCAAATCCTTGCCTCGCAGTTCATACCAACAATCAACAGGTCACTCTGCTACAATTCTGGTAAACAACTTCAGGAGGTAACAAGCATCTGAATCCATCTCAGTGGTCAGAAAGGTGTCAGATCATCGGGATGCAGGCCCCTTCTCCCAAAGAAGTGACGGTAGGGGAAATGACCACAGCCCGGAGCAAGATGGGTAGGGGGCTCAGCTCGGTGTAGAAACCACAAGGAGTGGACCGGACAAAACAGCGCCTCGCCTCAAAAAACTGCAACCTTAGGGTCCAAGACGGCCCCTCCAAGACCAATCCTCAAAAGGGTGTGACTTGTCCCATTCCTAGGTCTGCCCATTTCTAGGCTCTGGCCACGCCCACCCCTGCCTCCCCTCCTCCAGCCCACCCCTGGCGCCCCACTAGGGCTCGGGTAGGGGCCGTCCCGCCCACAGCCGATCACGGCCTCAGCCCGGGCCGGGCCGCACTGCCCACCGCAGTCTCCCGCTCCTGGGCGCCGGGGACAGACGCGCCTACCCGCCTGGGCCGCCGGCTCGTCAGGAGGCCCCGGCTTTGCTTCGCCAGCGCCCCCGGCCCGGGGGACACTCGCGAGGGGCCCGAATCTGGGCGGGCCTTTCCGGGATCCTCGCCCAACGGGGACCTCTCTTTACATCTCAAACTGTGTTTTGAGTCACTTCCTGGCCTGGGGCGGAGTCAGCGCCGCTCCTCCCCAGCGAGGCCTGCGCTGCGCCGGCCTGGGTGTCGCCCCTGCCTGGCGCCGGCCCTGGCTCCGCCCGCGCTTGCCCGGGGGTCCTCGGCCTCGGAGTTCTGGGCCCGCCGCGCAGTTGTTTGTCAGGAAGCAAGGGCAACTTTCGTGAGGGTGTGGAAGAGCAAAGAGAAAAAAAGGACTGGTCCATGGTCACAGGGTAATGACCCTCGTGGCCCAAGCACTTTCTACCAAAAGAATTGTGGGGAGGACAAGGGTACCCCTTTCTTCTAACAAATGGAGAGATAGATCAGAGGAGAGCTGTTGACATATGAGGAAGCTTAAAGGAGAGCAGTGAGAAGGAGGAAGGAAGGGGCTGCGGGGTGAATTCCCACACATTGCACAACACACAGTTCCCTGTGGTGCCAGGACCGGTCTCTAGTACTGTGCCCTGCAGAAGTCCCTAGTACTGTGCCCTGCAGAAGTGCACCATGGAGCTCTGGAAGAGCCTTGCGGCCCGTCTTCATCCCTCTTCTCCCTCCCAGAGCCCAACTGCTGTCACTTCATGCTCTGCCAAGGAGGAGGGAACTGCCATGACAGCGGGAGTAACTGAGTGGGAGGCAAGGCTAGGACAGAGGTGTGGAGAGGAGAGGGAGGTGCAGTGGCCAGGTAGCAGGGAGACCCAGAAGGAGCGGTGGAGCAGGGTGAAGTTTGGGAAAACCGGAGGCAGAGTGGAAACCAAAGGTAGCAGAAAAGGGGCGGAAGGCAGGGGTATTTGTGGGTGGTGGGACATACAGTCATGCTGGGAGCGAAACGACCCTGGCTACCGCGTCCCCTACACAGCCTGTGGCTGCCCTTGGCCCTGGTGCTTCTGGCAGTGAGGGTGGGGTGGGCCCAGGAGGGATCAGAGCCTGTCCTGCTGGAAGGCGAATGCCTGGTGGTCTGTGAGCCTGGCCGAGCTGCTGCAGGAGGTCCCGGGGGCGCAGCTCTGGGAGAAGCACCCCCAGGAAGAGTGGCATTTGCTGCAGTCCGGAGCCACCATCATGAGCCAGCAGGGGAGATGGGCAATGGCACTGGTGGGGCCATCTACTTCGATCAGGTAATCCCCCTGCCTCATTCCAGAGAACCTATTAGAGATCTGAAATTGACATCCAAGCCCACTTTGCTGTCCCTCCCATGTTTTCCCATAAGACAGACACTGATCATTTCCCTTCCCTAAGGCTTCTTCTCTCTCTCTCTCTCTCTCTCTCTCTCTCTCTCTCACACACACACACACACACACACACACACACACACCTTACCCTTTCCTACTGTGTCACCTCTGTTCCCTTATTGTTCCCCTTACCCAAGCTTATCCTGATAAGCCACAGGAATCCCTCAGCCCCTCAAACAGAATCTGCTTCCCCTAGGTCCTGGTGAATGAGGGTGGTGGCTTTGACCGGGCCTCAGGTTCCTTTGTGGCTCCTGTCCGGGGAGTCTACAGCTTCCGATTCCATGTGGTGAAGGTGTACAACCGCCAGACCGTCCAGGTGATGAGAATGCTGGACCCCAGCTACCCAGGGGAGGGTGGGAGTACCAGCAGAGCCCAGCACTTCCCCAGACTGAGCATTCAATGAACCTGTGTGCTGGGGGCCAGGAGCAAGGAAGGAAAGACCCTACCTAGCAAAGTGGAGACCTACCTGGGAGAGTCCCTTACACCCCAGATTCCCTAGAGGAAGCCCTGGAGAAAGTGAGGGTCCTAAGCTAAGGGTTGGTGAATGGGTGCTAATTGGGCTCCCCTCCCCAGGTAAGCCTGATGCTGAACACATGGCCTGTCGTCTCAGCCTTTGCCAATGACCCTGATGTGACCCGGGAGGCAGCTACCAGCTCTGTGCTACTTCCCCTAGACCCTGGGGACCGCGTGTCCCTGCGCCTCCGTCGGGGGAATCTTCTGGGTGGCTGGAAATACTCAAGCTTCTCTGGCTTCCTCATCTTCCCACTCTGAAGGCCCAGGCCTTTCAAAGACAGAAATCACCCCACTACTGCTTTACCCTCCCTGCCCCCAAGACAGCATCCTTGGGGCAAGGGAAATCTGCAGGTTTGCTTGTATCCCACCTTCTTGCATGAAATCCTGTGTCAAACACGAAGATTAGAAGAGAAAGAAGAGAAAGAAGAGAGGAGAGGAAAGGAGAGGAGAGGAGAGGAGAGGAGAGGAGAGGAGAAAGAAGAGAAGGAGAAAGAGAAGAGGAGGCATCCGTTGACTGCCCCTTCTCATCCCACTGCTATGCACAGGTCCCCTCCCACCGCATTTCTTTGCTGCTGCGCTAGGCCCAGGACAAGGTTAGACAGGGAGGTCTACAGCACTACATTTCGTTCTCTTCTTCTCCTGCTCCTCCATCCCAGCTTCCTAATCAGTGCTATTTGGGGACAGGTGGACAGGCTCCCACAGGGGCCCAGATGGATTAGCATCAGAGTACCCTGCAGGTCCTTCCTGTGAGCAGTGCCAGCACTGTGGATCTCAGCCCACATTACCGTATGGTTGGTGCAGGAGGCTCAGCCTCAAGAGGAAGTATAGGTAGGAGCCTGTGACTGGTGAGGCAGCAAGGGCGCATGTGCTTAGACTGAACCTGCTGCATATTCTACATGACATAAAATATGGCAAATGTTTAAATTTTTTTAAAAATTTATTATAGTAAAAGACACGTTATTAATGTCTCTCAAAAAACCACCCCACACATACACAGAGACTACAAACACAGTCCATCATTCTTGCCTCTTTCTGAAGCAATTCTGGGCATCCTCTTTAGTGAACATCCTTAGTTGCACTGTCATAGCTCGTGTGATGTCCTGAATAATTGATTCAAGACATTTACTTTTCCCAGTTATTTTTTTTTTAACTCTGAGGAGAGCCAGAAGTTGCCTAGAGCCAGATTCAATGAGTATGGTAGATGAGAACATACTATGTGTTTTCAAGCCTGCCTTTCCATTGATTGAACTCAACAAGCTCACACTTGCCAGACTGGTGCTTGTGTCACTGAGCTAAATCCCCAGCCCAAAAGTGGACTTTTAGAACTGCTTCAGAAAGCAGGGAGGACAAGAGAAGAGAAGACATCTGATTTACTGCAATAATATTTTTTAATTTAAACATTTGCTGCATATTTTGATAAACCCTTGTGTACACTAGCCGTGACGATGCTGGCTGTCCATGTGTGCCAGATCCCAAATGGACTCTGCCCTCACCTTCCACCAGAGACTTGGGGGTGTGCGTTTACTCTGGCCACAAGTAGAACTGAGAGCTGGTGTACAAAGTTGGAGGTGGGGGTAGAAGGTCACACAGGGACCATGGAATACATGTGTCCTCTTGCTTAACCATCTCCTGGAACTGCTCCATCTTGAAAGTCTGAACTTCAATCACTTTATACTCTGCTGCCACTTCACCAGGCTTTCTCACTGAGTCACCTTCCCTGTACCTGTCCTAGCCTATCCCCAACACCTCACTCTTTCCCCTGATCTATGCTGTCATATTTTCCTCCTTAAGCTTCCTAGTACCTGAAATTCCATGATTCATCTCTTGAATTGCTTACCCGGCAATATCACAAATTCTGTCTCTCCTAGTCCCATTAGTCCAGCATGGATGCATCAATAGTAGTGGGTGAGACAGCAGAGGCTGACTAGAGGGAGAAGCAATTTGAACCAAGGGCTATAGATACAAGCAGGTATGGTATGCTGTAAAGAAAATATATGTGAAGCTATATAGTACAGTCAAATAAAAACAATAATATTGAAGTTAAATTGGAAATACCAGTGTAAATTTATGGCTCTAAAAATAGAGCAGGGTGTGCAGCTCAACAGTAGAGCACTTGCCTAGCATTGCTTAGCATGCATGAGGCTCTTAGTTCAAGTACCAGCAACACTCACACACCAGCACCAGCACCAACACCAACACCATTATGTATGTAGCTTTTTTTGTGACCAGGAACAATATCTTAAACAAAGTAGATTATTTCTGTCTCATATGAAAGGATCTGCAAATAAAGAGTTCAGGGATGAGAGGCAGTTTTACAGTTATCAAAGCCAAGTCTCCTTGCTATTCATCTTTGAGATGCCACTCCATGACCCAAAATGGTTTCTTGATCTCCAGCTATTACATCAGCCTAACATCTTCCAGGAAAGAGAAAAGAATAAAGGGCACACCCCTTCCCTGTAATGGAAGATTTCAGAAAGGTACACTGAGCATTTCTGATTATATCTCATTGACTAGAATTAATCACTAGAATTAATCTCCTGGGTTGGCCACACCAACCCAGGAGATAGGATAAGAAATACAGTCTTACTCCTGCAGCCATGTCCTGTTGAGCATAAGCTAAAATTAAGGAAAAAAGAACACTGAGGAAGATGACTAACACTTTTTCAAAATATAATTAGGTCAATTTGTTAATAAAAGTTTCTGTCTTAGTTTTCTATTGCTGTGTAACAAATTACAGCAAATTCAGTGGCTTAAAACACCACCTTTTTGTTATATCAGTTCAGTAGGTCAGAGGTCTTGCAGAGCATGACTGGATTCTCAAGGTTTTACAAAGTCAAAAGCAAGGTGTAGTTTAGGGTGCCTTCCCCCTAGGGTGGAAGAATCCACTTCCAAATTCATTTGGAATTCAGCTTCTTACGGCTGTAGAACCGAGAGTCCTAGATTCCTTTATTTTCCAAGCAACAACTGTTGCCCATCTCTCAAAATTTGAGTCCCTTGCCAGAGATATAGCTTAGCAGCCCAAGTGCCTGCCATCCTTGATATAAAAGAAAGAAAGGAAGGAAGGAAGGAAGGAAGGAAGGAAGGAAGGAAGGAAGGAAAGAAAGAAAGAAAGAAAGAAAGAAAGAAAGAAAGAAAGAAAGAAAGAAAGAAAGAAGGAAAGACCTTTGAGTTCTTCAGGCCTATCCTTCTGCCACATTCCCCTGACTTAACCGGAGAAAGTTCTCTAAGTTTAAGAATTCACATGGTTCAGTTAACCCCACCTCAATGTCCAGAATAGTCTCCCCATTTTAAGGTCCATAACCTAGGTTGCATGTACAAAGTCCATTTTGCCATGTAATATAGGTTCTATAGGAGGTTCTAGGGATTAGGACAGGAATATTTTTGATAAATCTGTGTATCAAACCTTTATGACAACCTGTAGAGAAAAGGCATGCAGTGCAGTGCACTTAATGCAGGAAAAATGTGCAGTTTGAAAATTTGTATAATATACAAATTCAGATATAAAGTGACTCATTTTAATCATTTGAAAAAGCAAATCATTTCTCAGGTCCAAAACAAGAATTCATTGATTAATCTAAATTTTCCTTAGCATTGATTTGATTTAAGATACTGTTCTTCTCTTTGATAGCCAAATTCAAGAATTGTTCTGGAGTGAGATAATATGTATCTCTTGGGTTTACACATCACTTTTGTTTTTTGATGCTAGGAATTGAACCCAGAACCTGTGTATACAATGCAAGGATTCTACCACTGAGCCACATCTTCAGCCCCTACATCTACTTTTACAGTGAGCTTACGTATAGTTTAAGATGTGGATGATCTTTGTGATGATGTCTTCAGCTTACTGAAATATGAACCTTTTAGAGGAGTTAATATATTTTAATTAATATATATTTAGAGGAATTAATACATTAGATTGGTGAGTTGATGAAAATGTTTAGGAGAATCTGATTAAATTTGTAATCAATGTTAAGATAATTTGACTTGTGAAATGTATAGATTTTAGTTTGTTGCTTAAATAGTGTTTACGTGCTCAGACAGTTTTTGCTTAAGAAGATTTATGAAATACATAAATTAAACAATAATAAATAAAGCACAAGTAGTGACGAGTGTTCCTCTCCAGGTGCCAAAAGCTGCTCAGACTTTAAGGATCCTAAAAATAGAACCCATCTGTCCACCTTCCCTGTGCCCATTCCCTGGCAACTGATTATGACAGAGAAAAGTCCCACTGATGATGGATTCACTATGGGTCCAAATTCACTATGGGTCCATAGCCTCCAGCCACAACTGATCCTCAGTATTTTTTTTAACTTTTTATCAGTACTGGGGATTGAACTCACGACCACCTACTTGCAAGGCAGGTTCTTATGCCACTGAGCTAAATCCCCAGCCCTTTGATCCTCAGTATTTCAAGCAATTCTCTGGTTTCCTACGCCAGTTTCTTTCCTAATCTTCTCCAGGATCCAAATGCAGCCTTCTGTTCTCTACTTCAAGCTTTTGTAGCACTGGCCCCACCATCAGCAGTAGGCATCTCACTTTCTGCTTCACTAAAAAGAAAAAACACTGACAGGAACCCTTCCCTCCCTCACCCACAAACTCACCTTGGTTCTCATCTCTGCTTCTTCCTATCTGGTGCAGCAGATGAAATCGCTCTCCTGTCTTGGTGACTATCTTCAACCATAAGTCACGGAGCCCGTTGCCTTCAAACAAGCTCTCCATTTTTACTTTTCTCTCTACTCCTTCCCTTCAGCACTTAAAAGTTAATATTCAAGTCTCTTAAATCCAAAAGCAAAAAGAAGTGTGGCAAGCTGTAGACATGGATACCTTTGTCCTCAGTTCAGTATGCCCTTGCAACTAGTTAGCATTACCTCACCTGCTTCTTAGACCATGTATCTTAATAAAAACGTCACCTGTTAGTCACTGGTAAACTCTGGCCTCCATTGCTCCACCTAAGCTGCCCTCAGCCAGTCACTCACAATTTATGGTCACTGAAGTCCACAGACACCGCCTACTCCTCCTGCTGCCCAGGACCTCCCTAACATTTGACCCTCTTATCCATACCTTCCTAGGAAAAGTCCCTGCCCCCAGTTCCCTGATTGTACCTGAATACCCTGCCCACGCTCAGATTTTTTTTTCAGAATTCCCCATACTGACCTTCTCTTAAGTACACATTTCCCTTATTTCCTCACACACTGGGTTCTAAATCTTAGTTACTTTTTTCATTGCTGAGACAAAATACTTGACACCCAAAGTTAAAGGATGGAAAGATTTATTTGAGCTCACAGTTTGTAGAGGTGTCTGTCCGTAGTCTGCTGGCTCCAAGGCAGGGTAGCACAGCAAAAGGGCACTGCAGAGGAGAAACGGTTCATGGGATGGCAGGCAGAAGGCAGAGGGCGGCAACAGAAGCCGCAGCAAGCACCCAGCCAGCTTTCCCTTGTATCACATCCAGGCTGCTAAACTTTCGGGTGATAGCATGCAGAATTATGCTTATTCAATCAGTGGAGTAATTTAGTACCACACACCCTTCAATCTAGTATCATATGCCCTAGATTCAACCTGCTCTGAAAAGCCCCACCTATGAGCACGTGAGGCTTTGGAGGGGAGGGACATCTAGTTACAAGACATAACATTATCTGAAACTCAACGTGCTGCAATCTGAACTTAAAGGCTTTTCTCCCTCCTTTCTGTATACAAGTAGAACTGTCCTGTTGCCCAAACCAGAAAACAGCCAAGCCACAGCTACCTCTCTCTCTCTCTCTCTCTCTCTCTCTCTCTCTCTCTCTCTTTTTTGTGTAAAACAGATATGAGGGACAATGTGGTGTGGGTATTGAACCACCAACCTGATGCTCACCGGCCAGAAGGGCTACACCTACAGACAGCCAACCCAGTGAGCCACGGCTTAGTCAGCCACGGCTGCCACTCTCTCATGACCCCCAGATCTAGTCACTCACACCCATTGGTTCTGCTTATTGCTTTCTCATCCACCCTGGCTCAAACCACCAATATCTAAGCTAAACTTCTATAAAAGCTTTCTAACTGGTCCCTTGACTTCTAGTTTTCTCCCTTTCAATCCTTTCTCCAGTATGGAAGTTGTCATAGTGATCTATCTGAATGAACTTCACTGTGTAAAGCCCTTTACCATCTCCCAGTGGGCTTCAGAATGAAATCTACATTTCTTAACATGGTTTGTGAGATCCCTCACAACAGAGTGACTGCAATCTCTGCTGTTTCATCTTTTACCATCTACAAAATTGTGACAATCTAAAATCAGCACCCTTGGGAGTATGTCATTTGAGTTAAAACTTAACAGGACCAGGAAAATCATTCTTAGATCCAACAGGTAAATCGAGACCATTCTAAGAAACTGATTTTAATCCAGACTATGCTTAAATGAAGAAATCTTAAATGATGCTATGTAATGCATTAATCAAAGATGAAGAGACCATACTTTAAAGGGTAGGTGGAGTAACTCGAACAAGGTGAATACACTTGTGTGAGAGGCATCTTAATAGCAATTAAGGGGGTGGGTGTAGGAGGTCCTGTTCAGATGCAACCACTCAGGAGCTGCACCAAACCCTCAATGTACATAATCTTTACCTATCTGTGCCTCAGTTCCTTCATCTTTAAAATGGAGATGAATTTTACCCTGCCTCATAGAAATCGAAAGCACCTACACCAGTATCTGGCACAGAGCAACAATTTAATATATATAAATTTCTGTTAGAGTGTGAATTAAAAATTAAAACTTGTATCCCAGGGATTCTTAGGCCATTTTAAATAGGTATAATACTTATTCTCTAGTGGTATTTTGTTTTTTACAATATTTATGTCTTCTAAGGGTGTTCACTTCTATCTACAAACACAAGAATGTTTACCTACCTTGTAACATGGGAACTGGCATAGAGCTCAGGATTTCTTTATCTTTTATTTGCCCTAAGTCATGAGACTGTCTGCATATTGGCTACTTTATAAGTCTTCTGTTGGAGACATAGGAAGCCCACATGCCTTGCCAATGCCCCAAGAAGGAAAGGATTGTGATGGTTGTAAATGAGGAACACTGGCCACCAGTCTCATGTCCACAGTGTCAGACTGTAGATGAACCTCATTTATTCACCACTAGCCTCCCAAAACAGAAGGAATCTTAAAATATCTTGTCAGCTCTTATAAACTGTCCAACAGTGAAGAGAAAAATCTCAGGGTTAAAAGGCTCAGAAAACAGTGGGTAAAAAATCTGATTACTTCTTGAAGTTGTCTAGAATTTAAAATAAACAGATAGCCAGATATGATGGCACATGCTGTAATTCCAGCACTTCGGAGGCTGAGGCTGGAGAATCATTGCACAAAGACTATCCAGGGCTACAAAATGAGCTCAAGGCCAGTCTGGACTGCATAGTGAGACCCTTTTCTCAAAAAATAAATAAATAAATAGTAAAAAAGGGGGGGATGGGAATTATTGCCTAACCACCTTTCACATCATTTGAACTATGAATCTTTATTCTCTGACCTGTATTAAGAGAGGATATATTACTTTGGGTGAGGGTATTCCAGGAAGAGTCCTCTGAATGACGTGTGAGCTGAGACCCCAGGCCTCTCTTCATGGACTCCTATACCTAGTTGCTTCCCTCACCATCCTGTACTGTGAGTGTTTGTTCCGTTGTCTTTCTCAGGCACAGATTGTGGGCACCAATGAGGCAGAGCCCATGTCAATCACATTACCTAGTATTCCATACTAGACCAACCCTGGCAGAAAGGAAGTACACTCTAAGTCCTGGATGAGCGATGGTGTGCACAGCTGTGAGCTCTCAGGAAAGGAAGCTCCCTCTTGCTACTGCACATCTGTGCCACTGCTGAGCAGAAATCTGAGCAGGAGACAAAAGCTCCAAGCATCAGGAAACTTGCTCAAGGCGAGGTAAGAAGCTGAGTTTAAAGGAAGAGAACAACAGGAGTTCCTGAGCAGGAAGAGTAATGTTATGAAAGCTTACTCAAGCTACAGGCTACCTTGTTCACTCAAACTTCATGTAATCCACACATTGCCCCATAACTTAGAGTTGTTGCCCTACATTTTACTGAGGAAACTGAGGCTTTGAAACAGGACACATATGTGCGGGTTCAGAGTAGTCATATCCAACTCTGGGTCTATTACGTTTCCAGTGCAAACCAGCTGCCTCCATGCGTGCCGTTCTGCTTTCTCCAGTCAGGCACCATTCCTTCATTCTCACCCCACCCACTCCAGGACGTGAACTCTAAGACCACCAACTAGGGAATCTGGGTTTCTTCTAAGCACTGCCATGAACCAGCTGTGAGGTCCTGAAGGATATCACTCCCTGTACCTGGTTTCATCTGTGCACCAACAGCTCAAGCCAAGGGATCTTGAAAAGGTGCTGCCGACGCCTTAAGAGGAGCTGTACCCCACCAACACCCCAACCCTCACCCTAATTAAGTCTGAAGCTTAAAAAAGTACCAAGCGTTAGTTCCAGTTTAACTCATTTATTGAAAAAATGAAGACAAAAATTCACTTAAGAAAAAGGTAGAGGATCAAAGTTGTAATAAGGGAGAATGCACCCAGCACAAAAGTGGGAGAATGAGGTCGGAAGTGCCACTAGGGAATTGGAGGAAGAGAAGGGGCAATGGTGAGTGAGAATATAGAGTATGTGCTTAAAATTCTGCTGCTAGTCTTCTCGGTTTCTCTGCTGTCACCCAGTCATTCCTGGATAGGATTAACAACTAGAATGGATTTAAAGACAACATCCAAGGTAGTTTGTCTATAAGAGCAGAAATTGATACAATGGATAATGGAGAGAGGATAGGTATAGAATTCTAAAGGAGTCTCTTGCTTGAACCTGTTACCGAAACCCTTTACACAGTGAACTGGGCCCAGGTCAGCCACCAACCAGCTGTGTGACCATGGCCAAGTTACTTCCTCTTTTCCTCCGCTCTATAACAAGCAAGTTGGGTTTGATGCCAAGTTCTCTCTTGGCTTAGCTTCTCAAGAAACAAAACTATTCAGAGGCTAAGCCAGGGAGACACGGTGCTGGCCTTCACCTGGAGACTGGCTGTTCAGCAGCAGCTCCAAATTCAGAGGACTGAGTGTAGGCACACATACCTGTGAGCACTTACTCACTAGAAACAATCTCTGCAGAGAACAGGTCTGAGGGAGCGAGGGGTTCAGAGGACTAGAAGGTGGGAGAGGGCTCCAGACAAAGCAATCACACTACATGAGGTCTAATGATACAAGGGACTGTGGGGGTGAAAAGAGGAGGGCTGTGGGTTTGGGGATAGGCTTGGGCAGGCCTGGGAAGTAAAGAACTGGACCTGACTGTGTGCCAGAATGCTCATTTCTGAAGCCCTCCCCCTTAAAACAGAGGCCGAGGCCCCTCGGTCTAGCAGAAGAAGCAGCTCTTAGGCAGAGATGCCACATTTGGCATCAAGATCCTTAACCCCTATGCAGCCAACACCATCCAAATGGGGGTCAGGAGTTGTCTCCATCAGCTGGAGTCAAATGAGGTAGACCAACTTATCCCACCCTGTCTTTCCCATGCTGACAAGTGAGTAACTTGAGGCTGGCCATCCTCCCATCCTGAGCTACTGCCCTTATGGCCCAGGCAGACTACCAGCCCCTTCCTGGACAGCAGCAGAGCCCATGCTGGGCCTAAGAAAGCTGGTTGTGAGACTAAGGAGCTGGCTGCCTCCCCTCTGCCCATGTGAGTTTGTGTGCGCAGTTTGGAGGGACCACATTCAAGGTTCCTGTTTGGGAGAGGACTATGGCTCCAATTGTGAGCCCAGAGCCTCACTATTTCATGGTTAAGACAACCAGGAATAAGATGGGGGGAGGTGTACACAACATCACATACCTACATATGTGTGGAGGAGGAAGATACTTGGGGAAAGACTCTGAGCCTGGTCTACTTTAGTAAGGAGACCTTCTATTCCCCAATGTAAAATCACCAGAGGCACCCATTTGACAGCCTTTGGCAAATTCTGCAAATACCCCAAACTGGGGCTATTTCCATGGAAACACTGGTCCCTAGTTCAAGGCAACTCAGCAAAGCTTTAGGAAGCAGCTTTTCTACAGAAGGCACGACAGAGGGCCCCCAAAGGGCCAAGAGCACTGCGGGAGGAGGTGGAGGCCTAGCAGCAGAAACCCAGGACTCCCTGGATGGGGTCTCCCCCACCTCTCCAGCTCACTGCTCCAAGGCCTTAAAGGACAGGGGTGTGCCACTCTTGGCAAAGGCTTTCATCAAACTGCTGGGATAGATACATCCCAGCTTCTCTGGAGTTGGGAAGCCCCACACCCTATAGAGAGACAGACTCAGCCGGTCCCCAATATAGAAGGGACCCACCCATTTGGCACTACTGCCGTTCCTGGGGAGGGACAGTAAGAGGACCTGGTCACCCACATTCCATTCCTTCTCCTGGGTCTCCTGCTTAAAGCGCCTGTTGTCAGCCTTCTCAGTGCCTTTCTCAGCCGCCCTCCAGTGGAGCTCCAGCAGCTCCCCAATCAGCTGCAGCAGGAAAACATCCATTTTGAGCCCTTCAATGTTCGCACTGCTCATCTCCCACCACAGGGGCTCAGCCAGCCTCCACTCACTTCCCGTCAGGACCTGGAATGGCGTGGCCACCGTGGAGGAGGCCCTGAAGGCCAGGTGCAACAGGGGCAGGGAGGCTGCCCACTTCTTGCCATGCAGGAAAATGAACTCCTTTAGGGCCCTCTTGAATTCCCAGTAGGCCTCTGAGCTCACCAGGCAAGGAAACTGCAAGTCTCTACTCAGGGAGGTCACCTGTGCTCCCAGGGCCAACCCACAGCTCACCAGAACATGCCGGGCAAACTGGGGGCCCTGGGCTGCCTCCAGCCTCACTGGGACACCCCACCGTGCAAACACATGCTGAAGCAGCACCTGGGCCACAGCCATGTGTGTGTAGGGCTTCAGCGGGAACGCCTCCACCCAGCGGGTGTTGGGGTCAGCCACAATGAGCACGTGCCTATGGCCCTCCTCACTTATGGTGATGGGACCCACCACCTCAATCTGCAGGTTCGACCAGGGGGCAGTAGATCTGAGGGGCCATGGGGACTCAATGACCTTTAACTCGTTGCCTGTGAGATTCCGGGGGATGCAGAACAGGCAGCTCCTGCAGTAATCCTTCACATGCTCCTGCATCCCAGGCCACCACCCCAGGAACCGCAATTTCTTGTAGGTCTCCTCTGGCCGCTGGTGGGCCCCCATAGGGATGTCATGCACAGAGAAAATCAGGTCCCTCCGGAGTTGCCTCGGGACTACCCAGACCTTGGGCTTTTTGTCTCCCTTGAACATAAGGAGCCCACTCTCCTTATCAAGGCTGAGTGAGTTAAAGGCAGAACTGAAAGGGGAGGAACCACACAATTTTTGCCCCGCACGAAGCTTGGCAATGATATCAGCCAGGGTACTGTCACTCAGCTGTAATGCCAGCAAATTGGGTCTCTTGCCCATGGTACGGGGAGTCATGACAGGGACTGGCACATCTTTTGGCAAATTCCACCACTGTCCACCCCCTTGGGCACCCTGCTTGGCCAGGTTATCCACTGTCACAGCAAACAGAGAGCCCCGGTAGGAGGTTCTGTAGATGAACGGAAGGGATGAAAGGCCAGAGGTGAGGGATATAATGTAGGACAGCAGGCTTGGGTGAGGTAGTGGAGCCCCATCAGAGGACAGGAAGCCCCGGGCCTTCCAGAGGGGCAAAAGCTCCCAGAGGAGGCTGAAGATCCAGTTGCAGTGGGTGAGGAAAACCACAGGGAGGTTAGACTGGCCAAATCGCTCCAGGCCACAGGCCATGGCTGCCAGGTGGGCATAGGTTGGGGTGTGAGGGGAACAGGAGAAGGAAAGGGAGACAGGGGGACTGGTGGGAGACAGGACGTAGAGGCCAAAACCAGCACACCACTCGTCCTCACGGTAAAAGCAGTAGCCTGACATGTGGATGCAGACAAAAGTGGACAGGTCAGAAAAAGGAGGCAGAACCTGGAAGAAACGAGGCATTGACGAAACCGGCGTCAGCAGGTGGTTCTCCCCCAACAGACCCTGCAGAAGGGCCAATTCCAGAGCCCTCTTGCCTCTGTCCTGTACCAAAAGGGACCATCGAATCAACCATGCTTTGGAAACCCGGCGGCCCGCTGCTGCCTCAGGAGCCACGGTGGTCCGGGAGGCATAGGAAAGGTCGAGGACCACGGGGGCATCTCCAATGCAGCGGGAAAAATGCTTGAGGGCCCAGGCCACAGCGTAGGGGCTGTCCCCGCCTGACTGGGGGCCCTCACTGTCCTCATCCGGGAGAAGGGGCTTCGAGGTATAGGCAATGGGATGCTTCCTCCCTGAATGCTCCTGGAAGAGGATGGCAGTCAGGGCCACTTGGCTCACTGTCACCTGCAGGCGGAAGGGCAGCTGGGAATTGGGAGCCGTCAGACAGAGAGCGGATACCAGGGCTCGCTTCAGGGATAAGAAGGCTTTCTCATGCTCCTGGCCCCACTGCCAGTCTGGCTTCTGCTTGAGGAGGTTGTGCAGAGGGCCCATGAGGGCTTCATAGTCAGGGATGACATCTCGATGGGAGTCCATGAACCCCACAAAGAAGGACAGCACAGTGAAGTTATTGGGGGTGGTGAGCTGAGCCAGCTGCGCAAGAACCTGCTGGCAGGGAGCCTTCCCATCCCAGGGGATGCCCAGGGAGGGAGAGGCCGCCCCTGGCAGGAGGTCAATGTCCAGGGCCCCATCAGGGGGGTCATGGAGGCTGAGGCACTGGAGGATTTCCTCAGAGAGGGAGGGGCACTCAACTCTGAACACTGATGCCAGAGAAGAGTCCAGGTCATCCTCCTCAGCCTGCTCTGGCATTCCCCGTCCCTCTCTCCACTCTTCATTTGGCCTTTCTTCCTTCTCCCTGACTTCTTCCACATTCTGTGGACTCTCCAAAGGCCTAGGGTCAGGGTCATCATTCAGTTCAGAGATACTGGCTGAGCTGGGTGGAAGGGTCTTCCATACCTTCAGGAAGTTGCCGACATCTGTGTCCAACCTATAAAACAGATGGAAGAGGCAGAGGGAACAACCCCACCCCTCAAGGTCACCCAAGGGTAAAAGGTACACCTGTGGAGACTCCACAGAGCCTTGCCCCATTCCAAAGTGTCCCCAAGGCTGGACTGATGCCAGTCCCCAATTTGGATAGCAAGAGCTCCATCAGGCCCTTAGCTGCAAATTCTTGCTCCAGCTCTGCACTTGCCAGAACTTCAACATAAAAGTGAAGCTGCACGGAGCAGGATGCCTCTAACCTAGTATTAAGCCAGTGGTTCGATAAGAGATGACTGGTGGCTTAACCTAACCCCAGGATAAGAGGCATGGGGGAGAGCAACATGAGAGGAGAACTCAACACACAGCCTCAGCCTCGCTTCCGAACCCGAGCAGTGAGACTGAGGGTCAGGCCGGGGGAGCACACCCTGCTCAGAGCACACCAACCAACGCCTGCTCCTGGGCCCAGGGTGCTGAAAGGTGGGCAGCAAAGTAGTTTGGAGGGGATGGAGGCCAGAGGATTAGCAAGACTGCAAACCTGTTCTGCTAACACCAGAAAAGTGACCTTGGAAGTTTTTTTGAGTTTCAGGTTCCTCATCCATACATGACAGTAGTCATTTACATCTAACTGAAGTTCAGTGCTGCACTGGTACCAATAGCATAAAATAGAAATAGCCAGCCAGACATGGTGGCACATGCCTGAAACTTCAGCATTGGGGAGCAAGAGTTCAAGGGGCAAGAGTTCAAGGCCAGCTTGGGCTACATAGCAAAACCTTGTCTCAAAACGCAAAAACAATGACAAACAAAACAAAAAGTCCTCAATTAGAAAACAGATACATCTGTTAAATGGGTATTCATGTAACAGAGTACCGCATGGCCACTAAGGTGTACTACGTGTATTAGTATGCTATATATCTGAAAAAAATAGTAAAATACGGAATACAGTTGCCAGTTATGGAGGATACATACAGCATTAAAGCACGTGTGAAATGTTAAAACCATATGACCAGTGGTTTAGGGATGCATCAATAGGTGACAGAAGTATACAAGCATGAAAAAGTCAAGTCACTCTGTTCCATTCATGATTAAACAGCAGGCAATATTGGCTAAAACAAGAGGGAAGTTTCCAGTAACTCTCAGGACGGCCTCATAAATTACCTGTTTGGCTTCTTCAGAAACTCATCCAACGTGGGGCCATCACGGCCCAGGGGGTCATCTGGTACCATGAAGAGATTCCCCGCAAACGTGAAGGGCAGGAGGCTGGGCCCAGAAGAGAAAGGGGCTTGGTCTTAGATGAGCCATGACTCTCCCATGCCCTGCTACTGCCTAGCTGATGCCCCACCTTCCGGAAAGTGCTACTGAGCCCTACTCCAGCACCCCTCTCGCTGCCCCATTATCTGCTCTGCCAGGGGCTTCCTGACCTCAAAAGGACAAAAAAGCTCCCACCACTAGGCAGCTGTCTCACCGATCTTTGACCATGAGTTTCTTAGAATTATTCATCAGGGTGTGAATTTGCTCATTGGTAACAATGATGCCATCTGTCTCCTCGGCCAGCTTTACCATGAACCTAAAGGAAGAAGAGGAGTTACTAATGACCCAGGAACCAGGCCCATCCCTTTCTGGGTCCCCCAAGAAAATGAATTTGCAGCTTTGCGAGGTGTGCCCTGCACAGTGAGGGATCCAGGGCTCTGCAGCCCACTCCCTCCTCTGCAGCCATCTGGCATCCCCAGCAGCTTCCTGGGAAGACGCACATACCTCAACTGTACATGTGAACACACACCTATTATATACACAAACACAGAGAAACCCACACATTTCACATATGCATATTTACTGCTTGTGTTTTTGCATTTGTAAAACAGAGATGAAATCCTAGCTGATACTGCTGTAAGAATTAAGGTAAATGAGATAATGCATTTACACATCTAGCTCAAAGCCTGCTACATGGCATATGCACAAATACTCATTCCCATATTCTTCCCCAATGCACAACATTCACATGCACGCCAAGAAATGATACATACATATTGACACACATAAAAATGCAAACCTGAATTTTAAAAATCTACTCTTTCAATGATCACCTCTCCACTAAGGAGTGCTGTGAACAAGAAAGCAAGCAAAAGCTACCAACTGCTTAGCATTGCTGAAGACTGACATTCTGACTACCCCAAGCATGTTATCCCATAAGTGTCCAGCAGAGGGACCTTGTGTAGAAAAAACATTCTTCCTCAAACTGAGTCCTGAATTGAGAGGCTCTTAAAAATCATACACAGGGCCTGGCTGGTCCTACCCAGCCTTGGGCCAGAGAGATGGATGGATGTCACATCTTGGGAAAAGTGGGGGAGACTTGGAACTTTTCCCTGCCCAGCCCAGGAGGTACCTAGTGAAGCCAAGACCTCTGCTGCCCCACATCACCTCCATTTCAGAACCAGTGACTCTGGCAGGGCCTTTTCACTCCAACAGAAACAGACACAGGGGCAAGCCTTGGGCAAGCCTCACTGAAGAGTGTCACTGTTAGGCACAGAAGCATTCTAGATTCGGGCAGACGCAGCCAGTCTAACTCCGTTTTAGAGCCTTGCCCAAAGCATTTTCTACACACACACACCTCCTCCATTACCAGGACTTGGAGAAGAAACATCAACACAAACTGGTACCCAAAAGCCTAATGTACTTCTGATGCTCACTGGAAGCATGAAGAGTTAGTTGCCTGGGCTTGTCTCATTCACTGTGATGGATGCTGGACTACAGAGTCCATGGTGAAGAAAGCCAGTTAACTCAGTTAACACAGCATCAGGACCCAAAATCAGGAGCAACTCGTGAGCTTGAGTTGAGCCCTCTCCTCGCTTGTGCCTCACTCCATTTTTTCAGACATGATCCCCCTGACACATCTGCCTCCATTTCCACAAGGAAGATGTGGCAGGACTATGCCTGATACCTCACCCAAGCCCAACCTGAGCCCCCCAGACAGCCCTGGGGTGCAGCGCACCTATAATCATAGGTGGCGATCTTCTTGCCGTTCTCCAGCTGGGAGGGAGTGATCGAAAGCATCTTGAGCGAGTGGAGCTTCGTCAGAAAGTGACTCTCTGAGGGGGAAAGGCAGAAGACAAAAACAGTCAGAGGAAGGACCTCGTGGGAGGGGCCATGGTAGAGTAGTGGAAGGTGGAGCAGAAAGGCGGAGGGGCAGAGTGGACACTGCACATCTCACCTCTCACCCTTCGGTTTTTCTTCAGCTGCCAGGTGGGTACAAACACAGTGACCTCCCGGTGTCCCCGGTTCCAGAAGTATTGCACTGCCATGGCAATGCCTCGGCAGGAGAAGAAATGCTGGAGGCCATGCCTATGCAGTGGTGGGAAGAGAGAGGGCAGCATCAGCACCAAGGACACCACAATGCCTTTGTCCTGTCCTCCATCCTGAAACATTCTGTGAGCAACTACTGAGTGCACAGCAATTTCAGGTACTGCTTGTGTGCATGTGTGTGCACACATATTTATACACACACTGAAGACGAGAGGAAGTGAGCAGCCCCACACTCAAAGAACTCCGTTTTAGGGCTTAAAGCAAAAAAAAAAAAAAAAAAACTGCCTGCCTACTGTGTACTGAGAATGTGCTCAGTATTAATAATTACACCGCCACATGGCAAATTAAGCAGGCTAACGTGTTCATGCTAAGACCTCCACATCAGTAAGCACTGCACAGGCAGGGCAATATCTAAGTGTTGATATCAGGGAAGCTTCAGAGGAAATCTGTGCTGGCTCTGATGTATGCACTATATACTGCCTGGGAAGAGCAGTGGACAGACCTGAACCCAGACATCAGCCCCGCCCCTGGCTGACTCAGAGACCTTGGGGGAGATTCCTCAACTCCTTGCTCATCTGCAAGAGGAAGAACAGAAACCTTCCCTCCCAGGGCTGCTGGAACAATTTATTGCACACTGCTTAGCACATAGTGGCCATTCAATGTGCCATTTCCCTTTCTCCTTGGGCCCCATTTCACCCTATGCCTTTTATATGGGTCAAGATGGGCTGCCCATACTCCATTGGCCATGAATTTCTTGCTTCAGCTCCTAGCATCCCCAGTCCAGCCCATGCCCACAGCTACTCACACCATGGCCACGCTGCTGCCATCAATGACCACTCTGCGCAATTCCTGGTTCCCGGGTTCTCCTGACAAGTTCAGCTCAAAGGGTGTGTTCAAGGCTTCGTGGTACCTCTGGAAGCTGGTCACTGTGCTGTTTGCCTGTGGGTGGCGAGGGGACTGCCTCGGGCTTCCCTCCCCAGCCCCCAGGAGTCCCTCCACCTGGAACTGGTGCTTATTGCTGAGGGCCAAGGTGCTGCTGGACTGGGCACCCTGCCTTCTAGGCTCCTCCTGGCCCTTTGATAAGGAGGCATCACCTCTTGACAAAGGCTGGACCTCACTCAAAAGTCTGGCTACATCCAAGGTCGTCCCTTCACCTGTGGGCCCCTTCTGGACTGCAGGAGTTTTGGCAACTCTGGAGGCTTTAGAAGCTCCAGGTGCTTTGGAGCTTGCAGATGTTTTAGGAGCTGCAGGTGCTTTAGGGGCTGCAGATGTTTTAGGAGGTGCAGATCCTGTTTTAGTCCCAGGCCCAGGGTGAGCTTTGAGTGTTTTGGGATTTGCAGGTGATATTTTGGCTGCAGGCATCTTCGAAGACATGGCAGTTTTTAGAGCTGTAGACGTCACTTGAGCTGCTGATGCTGATGCTGGCTGATGCACAGCAGCTTTTTGAGCTGTGGACACCACTTGAGCCGCAGGCTTTGCTGGAGCCAAAGGCACTTTGGGAGCTGCAGTCTCTGTGCTCACTTCCAGCATCGTTTGGGATGTAGGCACTTGGGGAGCTGCAGTCTCCGTACTCACTGCCAGCATCGTTTGGGATGGAGGCACTTGGGGAGCTGCAGTCTCCGTACTCACTGCCTGCATCGTTTGGGATGGAGGCACCTGGGGAGCTGCAGGTTGCTTTTGAGTTATGGGTGAGTTTTCAGCTTTGGGTACTGCTGCAGCCATGGGCACTTTGAGTGTTTCAGGCACTGTTCGGGCTTCAGATTCTGACTGGACTGTTAGAACCCCTTGAGCCATGGGCTTTCCTTGAGCTGTAGGTTCTCCCAATTCTGTGGGTGGCACTGGAGAGGGCCCCTTTTCCAGCCACTTACAATCCAGTTGCACACTTCCTTGGTTCTCTTGTTTATCTCCAGTTTGGGTTGTAGAGGCCAAAGGTAGGCCTTTACGTGGAAGTCCTGGGCTAACCTTGTCCTTTTCATCACAGCCACCTGGGGCAACCAATAAACTCACGACTTTTGGGGGTGTCTCTGGCCTTGGGCAATTCTGTAGAGCTGCCTCTCCTCCCAGTTCCCCATCTGGTCTACAAGCTGGGCTTTCTGCACTAGGCAAAGGGGCCAGCTCCTTCTGCTTCCACTCTAGATTTAAGGGCAAAGCACTGTGCCCTGGCAGCTTCAGCTGAATGGGGCCCAGCGGCCTCTGCCAGAATGGAAGACTGAAACATGCCTGAGACAGAAGCCAGGCCAGGTGCAGAGAATGCAGTTCATTGATCCTCCAAAAGGCTGCAGCAATAGTCCCAGGCCACAAGGGCCCAAAGGCTGGCCCTGGGGCCCAGGCCTTCCAAGATGGACACATACTCAGAGCTGACACCGGAGGCTGGAAGAGGAATTTCTCTTCTACTTTGTGGATCTGCTTTTGCTGCAACAAAGCTGGTGTGCGGTTCACAGAGTTCTGGCTGCTGGTGGCCTGTACCAGCCCTTCCTCTTGAGCACTGTCCGTACCACTCTGGTTGATGGAACCGACCCTAGAGGAAGCCCAAGTTTGTTGATAAGGTGGGAAAGCCAGTTTTTCCCAAACTACTATCATTTCCTTGGGGCAGAGGGGTAGAGGTAGGGGTCAGAGAAGCCAGACTCACTGTCCAGAACTTACCATACCATCTGGTTTGCTGTCTCCTGTTGGGTATTCTGGACTGCGATCAGGGACCTGCTGGCTCCCAGGCTGCTTACTCTCTTTGGATTTTCTGGGCCCCCATTCTGGAGAGTCCCCATCTCAAGGAAGGACCCAGGATTCTCTCCCACAGACACCACGGTGGAGTCTTCCTTTTGCTGCTGGGGAGGGCTGATCAGGACCTCTGGGCTGGAGCAGGTGCTGGAGATGCCGACGTGGCTGAGCCACTCAATGATGTCTTCCTTGCCTGCAGCATCCCGCACCAAGCTCAGCAGTAGCTCTTGAACGGCTGGGGGCAGCTGCAGCAGGTCCCTTGCATACTGGTCACCACGGATCCATACCAGGGCCCCAAAGGCCCGGCTCACCTCAGCCTCCCAGATCCCCCGGGGGGTCAGCAGAGGGGCAGGGCCCCAGCGCAGCCGTGCCACCAACTCCTCCAGCCAGTTCTGGGTCATGGTGAAAGACTCAGTGAGCCCACCTACCATCAGAGAGCCAGGAGGACCAGGCACCAAATAGGCCAGGGTGCTCCAGCACAGGCAATCCAGAAAGAGGCCCTGGGCGCCGAGAAAGGCACAATGCAGCATTGGCGGGTAGCGGACCTCCTTCCACAGCTCTGGGCTGCACAGGCCCTTCAGATACTCCTGGGCACATGGAGAGAATCAAAGGAAACCAGAGTGTCCCAAGCTGCCACTGGCTCTGTCCCACACCCCACCCACCAGCCCTTACTAGGCATGTGCCTCCCCTGTTCATTCTGCCACAGCAGCCACCCTCTCCTGATCCTGTCCTTTCATGCACTCATGTCTTTCCAGGGAATGATGATGGAAATCCGAAGAGGACGAGTGAAAAGAACCAGGCTGGAAGTCAAGGAAACCCAATTCTAGCTCCAACTAGTTCCACTATTAGCATTGTGGGAAATCTCAAGGCCTCTGTCTCTTCACATATAAAATGAAAAGTTAAACTAGACACTTATATGTCCAGTCCTGCTTTGGGATTCCAAAACTACGTGACTGAGGGAAAGGGGCCACGCACTACTGGGTACTCTCCAAGACAAAGAACTTGGAGCAAATTAGCTATCTCCTGCCCCTGTGGGGGCTTCCCTATCTGTAAAATGGGGATATAACAGCTCCTAGCTCATTAGGCTACTGAAAACTTTAGCAAGCTAATATCTAAGACGTGTTTAGGGTGGTCCCTGGCATAGCCTGTTATTTTGCAGCTCAGAAGGGTTGTGCAGCTTGCTCAAGGGCACACACAGGCTTGTGAGTGAGTGAGCCAGAATCACAGTCCATATCTGCCTGAATCTAAAACCAGAGACCTTTCTCATTGCCTCTGGTTGACTGCACAGTGACTACCTTGTAAACCTGTGTGATTCTGCATTAATCTCCAGAAGTTCTCTAGCACAATCTGTAGCTACGGTAACTCTGTTACCCAGAACAGAGGAGATAAGATGCTAGGCTCATGTCCATGGAAACACCTCACAGAAACACACAATATCTAACCATAAGAAAGGCTTCCAGCTCTCTGAATGATTCAACTTTGCTGGGGGAGGTTGGGCTCCTCCACTCTCTGGCTCAGTCCCACCAGCATAGCCTCATAGGCTCCAAGGTAGCATGAGCACTCCCTCTTAATATACCAGTCCATGTAGACTGCATCTGCCTTTGTGTCCCTCCACCTCCTAGTGCCTGTGACAATCATTCCTCTCCTCACAGTTCCAGTAGGGAGCCAATGCTCCATTTTAGATCTCCAAGAGCCATCCTGAAAACTTCACCACACCACTCCTCAATATCCAGGCATTCTCACTATTCAGGATTATGCAGACCTCTTCCACTCAACCTAAGCCATTACCTACAACCCCTTCCTGAAGGATCTGAACTATACCCAAGCATAACCTCTTTTCAACCAGTGAAAAACAGCACACTATCTGATGGACTTCCTAATCCAGCTCCTGCCACCCAAACCTCAGCTTTGCCAAAGGCCTTGCAAAGGTGAATCTGACCAAGTGCAGAAAACACTCACCTTAACTAATGTCCCCAACCCCATGTACCCCACATTGCAAGAGTATAAAAACGGTATATAAAAATGAAGAAGTGAACTTCCGAGAGAACATGGCAGATAGATAACAGCAGCTATGGAGGCTCTCTGAGATGGCCAGCTTAGATTCCAGGAATGGTGCGGTGTGGGGAATCCTAAGCAGGGGGAGATATACCCTGCTGACCCAGGAACGAACTAAGCTGAGGGAAACCAATTGTAAATGCAATCCTGGCGCTACGACTGGAACAGCTAAAATCTCAGTGCTGAAACTGGAACCCGCTCCTCTGGAAACCGTGGCTTGAATTTCCTGCCGCCACTGCTGTAGCTGAATCGGCACAGCAGGGATAGAGATGCAAAAGCTCTGAGAGTGGGAACTGGCTAACCGAATTCAGAGCAGAGCTGGCGGGGAGCCCTGCATCAACCTGTGGTGAGTGAGAAGAACAGGGACCCTTCTATAAACTAGGAGGCTCCAACAGAGGACATTCTAAGACCAGGCAGACTAGCCGGAACAGGACACTACAGTGACTTCAGTCACATATTCCCTCTCAAGCAGGATTGGTGGGGAGCACTTGACCTGGGTGATGCCACGACTAAGACCCAGTAGGGTAGCCCAAATCAGGTCCCTGTACCTGGCAGTGCACCCTAATGTAGAGAAGCCTTCAGCAGGATGACTGACCTGGAGGGGTGGGCCCAGCATAGGCTGCCCAGGTCTGCGTCTCCCTAGTACACTGCAGTGGGCAGGAACACCTAGCTTGCGCAATTCAAACAAACTGTAACTGACAAAGAAAGAAACTGGGCCTCCTATATATGCTTGTATGGAAGGAACAAAAAGTATGGGAAGAGGGAACAACAAGAAAGGGTCCTCAGCCCCCAACCCTGAGAACACTGATCCAGGAAAGATAAATGCAAAGGAGAATGAGGACAGAAAACATGCAATATCAGGCACGGCACCAACAGACATAAAGCGATATCTCCGGGACCTTATAGACAAGTTCAAAAGTGAAGTATTTAACCAAGTAAAGCAAGATATAAGTAGAATAGTTAAAGAAATGCTAAGCACCTCCAAGAAAAAATAGATGGTGGAATGGAAGAACAGAAAAAAAGGGGAGAATTGTTTGATGGAGAAAATAGAGAAAACGTAGAATACATGAAGCAGGTTCAAAGAGATTACCAGGAAACTAAAAACTCTATTGAAAGCTGGCATAACAGCTTGAAAAAAACTAAGGATAGATTATCTGAACTGAAGGACAGATTTGTAATGTGGGAGCATGAAAGGAAAGACTTCTTAAAAATAATAAGGAAACAAGCATAACAATTCAAAGGCTAGAAGATGATAAGAGGATCTATAACTTAAGAATTAAGAATGTAAAGGAAGAAGAAGGGATACAAACAAATGAACTGCAAAGGCTATTCACAGAAATAATCAAGGAGAATTTTCCTAATATAGGAAAAGGTAAAGATACTCAGATCTATGAAGCATACAGGATGCCAGCCACCTACAACCCAAACAGAACTGCATCAAGGCATATAAAAATCAAAATTCCAGAAATCCAATATAAGGACAGAATATTATAAGCTGTCAGAGACAAGAAACAGATCACTTACAAGGGAACACCCATCAGAATTACAGCAGACTTCTCAGCACAAACCATCAAATCATGAAGAGCATGGGGTAAAATAATTCAAGCTTTGAAAGATAATAACCTCCAGCCAAGATTAATATATCCTACACAACTGTTGCTAGAAAGTAATGGAGAAACAAGGTGCTTCCAGGATAAAGAGGAACCAGGGGAATTTGCAACCACCAATTCAACTCTATAGAGAATACTGCAGGACATTCTAAGAGAGAAAAATACCAACAGTCCAGAAACAGTGGCAGAGAGGCCACAATGAATGGAGCAGAAAGCGAAATGAAGAAGACAAACTGACAACTAAGGACAGAAAAAGAGCTCAACAGAAATGAAGCAGAGAAGGTTGGATGGAATGAACAGCTATTTTGGAGAAAACAAGACATCATAATAGCTAGTGCTGATTTAATATCATCTTGTTTTGAAGTCCCATCAAGCTTTTGTTCTTCTGTCTCCAGTGGTCTTAACATGTTGTATCTTATTGGATTTTATCATTTGTGATAATATAAACAAAACTTTTATAGACAAGAAGAAACCATTTCTGTTAGTTGGTTCTAAATACCCTGTAGTACTGTCATTCTCTTGAATGGTTTTACATTGTCTTGATATGTTTGATGCTACAGTATACAAAGTTATACTCAAAGATTTCAAGGAAAGAGACATGATGGTAACTATTTTTATGTCGGGATATCTTGTGGTGAAACACTATTTTGCTTAAGTGGTTATGTTCTGACCTGTGCTGTTTTGTTGTTATATCCTCTTTTATCTCAATCTCCTTTTTTATTATTTATTTTTTTTATTTCTATCTTTTTAATTAAGGGAAAAATAAAAAATAGCAGGATATATTATAGTAACCCACTTTGATTTCCTATTAATTGGATGTGAACCCCTGTATTGCTCTCACCATCTTGTTTTGACTGATTTTACTCTATTCTGTTTTGCTTGATAGTATCACATTTGAAAGTATAGGCAACAACTGCAATGAGCATCACTATGATGCTCATTCTGGTTTGACTATTATCTTCTTTTGGAGCCCTGTAATATCTCCAATGTTTTGGTTTTATTGGTTTTGTTCTTTATTGTTTTGTTCAGTTTTATTATAACTGATGATATAGACAATTCTTTTTAACATAGCAAGAGGCAGTCTAGTAACCATTATTGATCACCTTGTATTCTGTTTTTACATTATGTACTATGTCCATCCTTTTGATTTGACTGACTGTTTTGTCATGTCACATTTGGTTTTATTCTCTTCAAAAAAAAAAAAAAGGTAATAAATGTGGGAGTAATAAAACCCAAAATGTGTGATTGTCATTGTAAAAAAAAAGAGGAAAAGAAAGTGCTCTAAAGGATATAACTGCATGTATATTTAAGTGTATAAGATAGATAACCATATTACTGAGTTTTTGTTGAATCATTGAACAGAACTGTTTACAGTCTCATTGTTTGAATGTCCACTTTATATGCTTTAATTTTGTACCTTGAACAACTATTTCTAAAATGACAATATGTAATCTATTAACTAGTGATTTTCTACTGTTTATTTTTTTTAAATTCTGTATAACTTGTAACTTTTTGGTTTTTTTTTTTCTTTTTTTCCTTAAATAAAATTTTTAAAATTTAAAAACAATTAAAATAAAAACGAAGAAGTATATTGGGGAAGAAAATCGATGGTTTCTCTTTGTTGTTTTGGATTTTGGTTTTTGAGACAGGATCCAGCTATGTAGTTTGGGCTGGCTCTAAACTCACTATACAGGGGCTGGAGGTTTAGCTCAGCGGCATAAGCACCCGCCTTGCAGGCAGGCAGTCGTGAGTTCGATCCCTGGTACCGATAAAAAGGAAAAAGACAAAAAAAATAAAAATAAAAATAAAAAAATAATAAAAAAAAATAAACTCACTATACAGCCAGACTAGCCTTACACTTCCCACAGCCTCCTGCCTCAACCTCCCAGGCACTGGGACTACAGGGATGGTAAAAGGTGAAA